AGAGAAAAGTTCAGGATTTATATCTGTCTATATCGTTGTTCAGTGCATTTGTTTTGTTTTAGTTCTTGTCTAAGTGCATTTGGAGTTCGGTCACACCTTATGTATAGAATATAAAATCCCAATTTCTGCAGTACAGATCGTATCATAGTGGTACGCTGTGCCAGCTAGTTTATGCTGCTGCCTCGAACACGCAAATTCAAATTCTGTCCTAACAGTCATCTTCAGTAACTCAATATCATTGTCCACGAGAAAAATCCGTTTTAAAATGGGGATGAACACCATCAGACTTACGTGGTGTAGTTGCTCTGTGTTTGAGCAACATCTTGGCAGCGTGATGTCCCTTGGGTGAACATGCTTGACTGGACCCATTTAAATAAACTATTAACTGAAATTACATATCGCGATTTTTACTTGTAATTCTCTTATAATCATCCCTTATCATCTCCCAGATGAACTAACTCGATGAGCACAAATCACAGAGGGGAAGCAATGAGATATAGTTCTCGTCCTTATTAGAGCTCGTTAGCGACGAGGCATATCTTTGGTCACGTTGGAGTTTAAACCTCGAACAAATGGCACACGAGGCAGCATAACTCCGCCGTTCTCCTGGACTCAAGTGAATACACACGTCTGAACAAGCGAATGCGTTCACGCTTGAGTGATGCGACTGGTTTGCCAACGCCCAAGCTGTTCTGGTTGTCTGTTCTGATTAACTGACCTGCCTGTCAGGACTACCGGGGCAGGTAGGGTGTAGGATTGGATGTGGGTGGTTGTAGAGTTTACAGCTTTTGCATTCATATCATTCTCATATCTGAACAATTCCCCTGATTCCTGGCCCGATAACTTTGGCCATCCAACGTCAACGAGGAAAATCAGCGAACTCAGATTTCACACTTCTTTTGAAGTTGAAGTGAGTTCTACATGAGTTGATGAACACAAGCGAGAATGGAAACATTCGCCAAATGGGTAGAACAGCTGCCGCTTTTAAAATGTACTCTTGTGAGAACGGATTTAATGCACACAGGGTCGTGTTCACTGAATGATGTTCAACATGTCATATTGTGACATTTGATGGATGATTTGAATACTCACAGTGCATGAAACCAGACGAATCCTACCTATTGCCGACTACACCTTGTGTACCCAACCGAATGGATATTGTCCAAAGAATCAACTCCAGTAAGCGACTTAGAGCTAAATTCCAGTGGGACAGTTAGCAAACGGGGGAATCCTACATAGAAAATGTCGTGGTTACAGGTGACCTTCCTCTCAAAGGTTGGTTGGGCTGAAATGTTCATCCTGGAACGGTTGAGTAAAAATATAGGAACATCACGTCTACATATTAAAAATGTCTCATTATTATTACTTCCGATAATATCAAAAGTTGTTTGTCTTGCTCTTCATATTGCATAAAATGGTAATTAAATCTAAAAGGGTAAGGTCTCATTGAAGAGTAATCTATGCAACTGATGAGCAAAGTCCACCATTCGAGGAAACTCCGTTTTGTGAAGAAAACTGGGACAAAGGAATGCAATCAGCAGCCCAGATTTCATGCAAGCTGTATAAGGATTACCTCCACTCACAGGACGAGAAGCGCACCGTAAATAGGTTACTAATAGAGAAAAACCTGGCCGCATTCATTTGCGAGTGAATTGCCAATCAAATATAGCAAACCGAATGAAGTTTCCAATGTACCCTTCCCATTAAAAACTAAATAAACTGCAGCTGTTCACTCAAGAAAAACAGCATCTTCCTGTTGCCTCTACAACAATGTTTGCCATCTCAAAACTGACGTAAGGTAAACCGGTTGAGTGTCTCAAGTGGGTACTCAATGAAGCCTGTTGAATCGCCTTGTTTAGAATCCCAAGAGTAATTGGCTTGCGGATATTGTCCAGAAATCAACACAAAGCGAAAATGGGTGAAACCATTGTCTTCTAGACCACAGCTCCTTTAGGACACTGACACACTGTTTCTCCTCACTGAGGGTATTGAACAGAAGTGGAATGAGCAGGGGAAAGGAAATGTCGCACGAATAAATTAGTTGAAGCTCCCCACCGAATAAACAAAGATTGCAATCACCATTTTGGTGATAATGCAGCAACGTTTCAAAAGTGGACGGATGTGAAGAGATATGGCTGACAACTGTTAGGCAAGTCACATCCACGTATGTATTTATAGATATTTACACTGCATTGTTCTAACCGGGTACAGGAAAACCGTGGGCTGGCGAAGTTTTGACGACTGACTGAGAACTCAAATTTGTTTACTCTTGTCTGTGAGGCTGAGATTACTGCCACTGCCATTTTCCCACTCGGATCGGATCACAACTGGCCATGAACATATGTTAGACCCACTCAGGTGAACTGCGAGCGAAAAAATCCTATGGCCTCACGGTGCTAAAACTAAACAAGAGAATACGCGTTATTCCCTTGTTGCAGTTCATGTGACGGTAGGAGAATAGTTGAATGATACCGGGCTTTCACCTCTTTACAAGCATAGAAGGCGTTCAAGGAACTCCGATTTCTGAACTGTGTGATAGAGGGGGAGGGCGCTTATGCTAGCGGACACCTGCACCGTGCTGATTATCCAAAAATTATAAGCGCACTAGAACAGAAAAGTGGTCAATGTAAACGACAGTATTCCTGAGCAGAATCAACAGGCCTGAGTAATGTCTAAGCAGCAGCCGAGTAGGTCAGACTCTTGGGTACTCCGAACCACGAGTGCAAGACCTAAACGACGCTATGCATCTCAGAACGCCAAAGATGAACCCAACTATTCCTCATTTCTTACTCTGTATCCGGTGACCCAGAAGTGGATGACTCGTGGAATATATGGCATGGGACTTGTACTCAGCCACATAGCTGAAGGCGCTTTCCAGGATTAGATCCCAGTCAACAGTCGTCTTTGGGCCGTTCGGTTATCCAGTTCAATCAAGCTCAATGCCTATCGGCATAAAAACGGTACCTGTTTGTATTGTCGGTATATGCCACACCAGACTGCAACAACACTTTCTACGTAAGCAGAGATACTCACCTGCTCATTAGCCATATGTTATTAGGGGAGCAAGTGAATATCCGCTAAAGCATTTGCTTATACAAAACTTCAGCGGAAAGTACTGCACAAAGACCGCCTTAGGTTTAATTTGGAAGGGTATTAAAGACTACCGAATAAGGTTGACGAAAGCTTATCAACTAAGCTTATCTGATAATGATACCAATGAACTTTCATACTGTGTCAATAAAAACAACTTGAATAGCCTTCCAAATTAAGCAGCTTTTGTGCGGTACATCCCTGCCAGGAAGGTCAGATTCCTGAAGATTATCCCAGAATACCCGAAATCTATTGAGACCCTCAAACTCCACCAAACGCGATCAGACAGCATTGGATAAAGGTCAGACAGTGCTTCACAAGCTATGGCACGAGACAGCCTTGAATCAATGTCAGACAGTGCACTTCAAAATATACCGTGAGACAGCCTCGGACAAGTCAGACAGTGCGAGACAGCTTTGGAACAAAGTCAGATAGTACCCCTGAATATATAGCACGAGACCGTTATAACTTTCACATACACTTGCTTGTTCGCAATAAAGCTGTTGTGTTCCTTATCGGTGAGTCTTTTTTGCAACTCTAGGCGCTTAGTTAGGGACAGAAGTCAGTTATAACAATCCCGATGTTATAAATCAAACTGCTTTGCGGGTTATTTTGGGACAAAGGGGGATTTGCTGTTTAGAGCTTCGGTTTGGTTTAGTCTATATTTACTCCGTCACACAGTTTGCGGCATTGCGTTCATCAATGCATGAGTCTTACTATTAGAAACCTAGAATGTGATTTATGGTACCATATGGAGCGGAAATTCACATTAATCAGAAAAACCCCATCTTGGTTTACACTTGTCAGCCGCATTTAAAGTAAGGTGCGGAAAATCGAGCACAACCGCGGCAAATCTATTTGTTCGAATGTGCGCACTGTAGCTCAAGGAATAAACGGTCTCAACTGTTTGTGTACAGATTCGTAAACAGCTGGTATGCAACTGTTACGTCCGACCACTTAGCGAATACCAGTTTCAAAGTGGGCCAAAAACCAAGTGAATGGATCGAAGTGCACCCTGTCAAGTAGTGGAAAAAAGTGATTTACTTGAACCAATCTGAGGCAAACGTGAGACAAGCAAGGCTGACGTGAATTCTGTTCGGCTGAATTGGCTGCTACAGAGTGATTTACTTGTGAATTTAAGAGCAAATTTATACATACCTCAGTGTGCTGTCAGGCCTATTTATTGTAAGTTAGGAAACGCAAAACTCGGGATTTCGAACCAAATGCAGTAGCTTCCCTTGAACTCGAGAAAGGTCAATCCGTAAAGCTTCCAGAGAATTTGCTTTTAACTGATAATACTAAACAGACCACCGGACAACTAATAGAGACCATCAGACTCATGCGTCCATCTCAGTAAAGGTCAGGATGCAAGTCGCGCGAGACTTTCTCATATTTCAGGACTAATAACGCAGCTGACTAACAGCAATACGGCTGAATTTTCTGAGTATCCCAAAACATGGTCATCATCTACATCGAGCTGCTCTGAGCGATCACTACCACATGATGGGATCCATCAAAATCGGTTTCTCCTGGGTGGACTCAGAAGTGCGGAGTTTTCGACAGACCAATCAAAAGGAGTCATATTCGAGGAGAAACAACTTTGGATCAGTGGAACCAATGTTATCATATGAATTGCTTTATTTGCAGAGCACACACTGACGCAAGCCATCACCCAGAAGGCATTTCCAGGTCTTTCCGTGTATACTTGCTTCAAAATACTACTATTCTTCGCAGAATTCTATAGGCTCTCCGGTATACCAAACGGTTTGCTGAGAAAGCCAATTAATAATACTGGCACAAGTGCCACCAATTCTGCTAGAACAAAATACACTTGTTTGACCTGACAGGTCTACGTGCGAAAATCCAATGAACCCATGTTTCGAAAAATGGAAACAAGTTGATTTACCGTTTTATTCAGTACAGTGAACAGTAAACGTTTCTGCAACAATGCAGGTCCGGTCCGTGTCTGTCTGAACCACAACACACTCTTCAACCCACTCATCTGATTCTGACCAGCAGGATGAAGAGCAAGAGAAAACAATGACAGTGATTATTTTCAGTGGCCAGTCAACGTTGAATTCGTCCTCGTGCAGATCATAAGGAAGTGGAGCAGCAGCGGCGTCGGAACGACATCCGGGATCTAATTTGAGGGAGTTGTTCAGAACAGAAAATAGCTGGACCTCGAAAACGCGTGGTGAGTGACAACGTGAGCATGTCAAACATTGTTCCAATTGTCGCGGTGGACGACCATTGAAGATAGGGCAGCCTCCCCAGTGGTAACGAACGTCTTCAAGGCCATGCTCACTCCGGTTGGCTAAATGCGAACTGAGCGCACCGGAAAACGCTTTCTCCATTGTATTATCATCCTCTTCCACAAATGCTCGCTCAACCTCCTCTGCACAGAGCCACGCACATATGGACGATATGTTTGCATGTGATCCTGTCTGGTCCGGAGAGTCATCTATGATGTCACTGACCGGGTTTGCAGCGACATCGTCGAAGACTTCAAGGAAGGAACCGAGAAAAGGTCCAAGCAATCTCTGTGACACCAACGGCTTCTCCGTCTGCGGAGATAAAGCGTGATTGAGAAGTGTGGGAAAAGACTAATGAGCATTGACAGGTTTAAAATCGCAGGTATAATTTGCGGATACGGTTACGAGGAGGTATGTCGCAGATCGGGGTACTTACAAATGGGAGAGATAACGTGTATTTAGTGTCAGTCACGTCAGCTAAGTTTGAGTGCTTAATTGTAACTCTCGAATCTCACTAAGCTAAAAAAAACCTGGTAAAACAGTGCTGACCAGAAGAAATTGAATTAAAAATGAAAAGAATGTGTGCAGCATATTCCCTTCGTCCTGAAGGATAGTGAGGCCGTATTGTGACCCCGGAAGTAGCGCTCAGATTCTACCATTGTATGGAATGTTGTTGGATACGGGAGAGGAATCATGCAACTACAGAAAAACAGTGACAACTCAGTTAAATTAAAAAGAGATAATGGTAATTAAGGCGTAAGTCCCGCATATTTCCGCATGATGCTGGAACCGAACGGTGTACGATGCATATTACCAAGACTAGTGTTAAGCAATTCGGAAAAGAGTAATTCCGCTAAGTGCAAATTTTCATCGGCTATCAGATAGGTTGGATTAAATTAGGCAAAACAGTGTTGAGTCGAAGGGATGGGTGACGAATGGGTCCAATTTCTGTTATCGTGGCCACTAACTACTTGCTGGTAGAAAGTAGCATAATGAAAAACAAACAACGGGTTCTATTAACCACAGCTGTAGGGTATAGATTAGGCATCTACACCTACGGTCACATGAGGAGTGTAATATGACAGACTACACATACATCAATTTGGATTCGTAAACAGAAACTAACTACTTGTGCTAAGAATGAGTATTAAACGGAAATTTAAGTTTAAATTTCATTTCAATCCGTGCGTTTCCCAGATTTAAGAAGAGTAAAGCTCTTAGATCCAAAATACTGGCTCAGCAGGCCAGCCTTCAACCTCCAATACGAAGTTAATTGCAAATAACCTGAGATCCTGCCTTCCCTCTGGGAGGAAATATCTACTGGAAGGAGTAGAATTTACTTTTACCATGAGAAATTTCAGCTAAAGAGGATTAACTATGTCAGATCAACAAAAAATCTGACACTAGGAATTTTTCGGGGATTTATGTTTCCTTGGAAATTATCCGAATTTTTTCACGTTATTTTAAAAATTACTTCCGGAGAATCGGGTGCAAACTGTCGCAAGTGTCGAAGAGCAATGATTGCTGCAGCAGAAGTAAGGTCGATAAACTTAATACCTATATTTTTTTATTTTAAGGTCATATTCGTCATATGTAAACCCAACTGGTAGATTTGAATAAACTGACCAGGTGGAATACTTCTGGTTAGGTCTTTGCCTTCCGAGCAACCTGATAAGAGAGCTTCTCTGAGTATGACACACAGAGCCCCCAGTACAGCATGTTAAGTTACGGAGTGTACAAACTGTCTAGCTGCCGTAAGATTTAGTCGCTTTGTGACTGCAACCCTGAGGTTAAGGTATGCGATAAAGCACAACTAGATACTTATCTAATCCACTTAAGAAACAGTGTAATAGAACTACGTATAACTCGATGCAAAGTAGGTGGACAAAAGGTAGAGCTTGTGGCCCTAGCGAGAGCAGAATCACAGAGATTATTCAGGAGTTCCGCGCAGCTTTATAGGGTTGTATGTTGAAAATCGTGAACACTTACTTTTGGGATCGAATCTGTATCTGCATTCCATGAGGAATCGACCTTTGTTTCATTCTCATCGCCACTATCGTCGAAAGCCCAATCAGCTTCAAACAGCTCAGCTCTCGCTGGCTCACAATCTAGAGACTGTGATCGGAGAGCGATCCAGTTAAAGCCATCTAGTTGACAGCTTCGTTTCAAACAGACGAACAGGTAAAGGGAGCGGTGATAGCTTGAGCCACCGAGAGGACAGTAAATCTGGGCGATGAAACACATACGGTGACGGCAGGACTTACAGAGGATGAGTTGATCAGGTGGTGGTGAGTGTCCCGGATATGCTAACAGTGACCCACCGATGAAACTATCATATACGGTCGGTTGAACGTTGGTCGAAGACTGTGAGACGAAGCCGACGAGAGCCATGTGTAAAATATGGACAGCATAGGAAAATTCTGAAACGATAACAACAGTGTTAGTACAGCATACCATGGAAAACGCCATTCGACGAGACAAATTGTTTCTCAACTTGAGGTAATAGTTACTTGGAGGAATAAAACAAAGAACCGGATGTGGTCAGTAAAACTATTTTGGGGACTTAAAGATGTGCGCAAAATTCGGCAAACCTTGCGCTTTTTTACTTGCTCTATGGTGCAAAGAAGAGTTTTATTCACGCCTTCTGATATCACAACAAGGTTCTTTGTATTCTCCGTCCGGCACAAGTACTCTCCAGTAGAATCTTCAGCAAAGTCATTATCAACCGTTCAATAGCCCCAGTTGTTACAGTTACCTTCACTGGTGGATCGAGAAAGTACAAATTCCCCGTCGGCTTATTTGTGAGATCTTCATAAGGGTTAGAAATCCTTGGTCAGTCCAGGAAAGGGTTCTGAGAAGCTCACAGGTCTTTCAGAAGAGACACTGCATCTTAATTTTCTCAACTGTTCTACTTAACTTCACTCATTATTTGCTCAACCTCGTGAACTTGAGAGGGAGTGCGACTAAACTGTTAAAGTAGCGGTACAGCGTGACATTTTGGTGAAAAACGTGTTGGTTACAAGGCAACGCTTTGAGCGAACGCATTCAGACGCTGAAAGACGCCTACCATTAACAACATGGGTTGTTTAATTGACTAAACACCAGCTGAACACGCAAGGCTTACTGGTGTTATTTGTCCCGACGCTTATTCAAACTGGATTTTCGCGGGGAGAGATACAGGCGATCCAAGCATATGCATGTGAGCAGACCAGTGTAATCCAGGTAAGCATATCGTTCATAGTGGCTTGAGACAAAGTGCATACGATCATTCGTGAACACTGCAATTAGGCAGGTGGAACTTCTTGATGATGGAACCGATTGCCGTTCGACTTGTCCGTTACCGCGCGGATTGTATGGGGTAGTTTGACTGGTTGCCACACCCCTGTCGTGAAACACTCGATGACTCAGACAGCATGGGTAAAGGAAATTTTTGTCACTCCGCGGGCAGCTCCCCAATACACGGCAGCATAGGAATCAGACGGTCCAACGCATCCTGCAAAGTAAACACCAACACACAACTTAAAGAACCCTTGTGTAGGTGGCAACTTCAAAGTCCCGGGCCGGAATGCAGGTTCATCATTTACCAAACAAGTATGGACATGAAGACTGTGACTAAACTCCGCCCCATTCCGTCTTGTGAGTTCACAACCCTTTAGTGGAACGTCACCTCGTTTCAATGATTTTTATCCCACCTTTGTGTGACGTTCCTCACAAAAATCCAGATACCCGAATTTTGTGGTCTCATCAATCTGTGGTTTCAGAATTATTTGGTGTTTCATTGTTTTGGGGTTAAGGAACCGCACTTACATCCATCCCTCCCAGTCTGCCTCGCATCACTCCAGGCCAGTAAGCTTGATTCTCATTTTTTGACTCAAGTTCAGTCTATCCGATTGTAATAAACGCCCATTATTGATCACCAATGGTGAAAGAAAGAAGGCTTCCGCTGCGGAAATGTCCACTGAACAGTCACAGACTATTGGACAGGGAAGCGAAACTATCATATGCATCTTGTTTACAAAAACTGAATATCCATCCTCTTTTCGAACGCGTCTTCCTGAACTTTTCTGGATATTCATTGACTGTTGCTCAAATCCAAGCAAATGCTACAAAACGAATCCACAAATTCCGTAATAGATCCCACTTTTCAAGAGACGCAAAGCGGATTTGCGAGAAACCATACTACTCACATGCCGCCCTCATCAGCAGTATCACCGGTACAATGGTAGTGAATATCGGGCCCAGTTCTCATCTATGATGAATTACGTCACCCAACTTGTTTCCCTTCCTACACGAGTCCATGGCTGAAATGGTGACAGTGCTTGAACCACACATTTATTAACGTTTGGTCTTCTGCTCCGTGAGTTTACCCGCTCATTGTTTTATCACCCATTTTAATACATCTTACTCTAAGTAGTTTCCGGTGATACTCCGTTACTGACCAGAAGGGTATGTATCAATTTCTCAGCCCCTATCCCTGGTTCGTCCAACAAATCCTCACTTCTTGCTGTGTTCGTTACGATGGCATGGAGAAGTTAATTCTCCACGTTCTCAAACCTGGCCCAAAACATCACCGGACGGTTACACTACGCTGGTCTCAGCATCGTAAAGAAAAGTACGGTGTGTAGGCGTTGGAGAACACATCCATTTTTATCACGTACTGACTACCTTGTGGCTCATAACTAATCATAATCATATCAGTGTTCAACACTGATGCTTCGCTCATAACTACTGTACAGCTGTAATCAGTAGAGCGAAAGATTAATCGGAAGACAAATCAACCATTGAGCGAAGGTCGACCATTCTGGAGTGCGATCAATGTAGTCCACCGAAAACTTTTCATTCCATCTCCCTCTTACATCCAATCCTTCCAACAATTCAAAATCTCAATAGAAAACGCGACTTTTCTCCATCTTTCAACAAACAATATTCCTCTTAAGCATACCGGATTTGCACTTCTGTTCTACTTAACCACCCTATTTTCCATGGGTTTCACCACTCTGTCAATGCTCCCTAGGTTCAACCACCTGGTTCTGGTGGCAGTGTTATCCGGAACTGCCCCCAACAAACTGCCCTAACAACCTGTTGTGTCTTGATGGACAGTAGTGCAACTCTGTATCGGTCCCTTGGCTTCCTGATCCGCCCACTATGGTATATCAAAAGGCACGGTAGCTCTACACAGCCCTCTATGGAGACAAAAAGAGAATCATTACATCTGTATTTATAGGGTAATCACATAGTGTTCCACAAGGTCGTGCTAGAAGCACCGTGAGGGGGCGAGAAGCGTCCAGTCAAGGATGCTCGATCCGGATTGGCTGGCATTCTGGCCAATCAGGGCACGCCTCCGTTTGGTCCGTGTCCTGCACGTGACACATCCGTCCAAATGACGTGATGTTTGGTTATTAGGGACGGCTGGCCCCCGAACACAACCCAAAAAATGTTTCCATTCTTCAGTTTGTTTCGACCCCTTCCCATCATTTCGAAAGAATCTACATGTCTTACTCATGCTCGCTAGCGTCATGTGAGCATTAATGTCTTACGCATGGTTACCTTTTGTCGAACCGATTGGCCAGACGGCGCTGATTTCTCGTAACAGTTCGACAGAAATCAATAGTCTCTGGTGCGTGAATCTCGCGTCAAAGCCCCTCCCCCCAGATAAAGTCTGCACCTCAACGTGCTGGAGGGTTGAAAGCTCCCTAAGTGACTGCTCTGTTCAAACGCTCCTTGGTGACGTTGTCTTTCAGAATCAGAACACCAGCGCAGATGTTCCACACTGTCTATCACTCGGTCCTCGATTCCATTTAGAGAAAAATTATGCACCCCACTATCAGTTTCTTTCTGAATGATAGCCTGCAAAAGCTCTCGTGCTCGTGGCGTGGCTAATTTAGCTTTGCTTTACCTCTACTACCGCGGAAGCCGCCCGTCGGAGCTAGCATCCTCGTGCCGCAGGAACCTAACTGTGCTACCTGTCTATTCAGTTCTAGTCAACTCATAATAAATTTACATCCCCGATGCAGAAATGACGTTTGCGCCTCTTCTTTCCTTCTCAGCGCGTCAAATCAGCCGGAAAAGAAAATCAACATTTGCAGCTCTTTCCATGATAAGAAGCCATCTCTTATTTGTGATACAATTATCCGGGCGTAGCCAGTGATCTGGCGATGTAAGCTGCGGAAATTCGAATGCGCACCTGGACAGCTTGCTAAGAGATGAGTGGTCCTTTCGGAGGTCCAGCCTTTGTGGAGTTGAGATGTAAATCCAAGATTCGATGCGGTGGCCTGCTATGCAGATGTCATTCGGCGGATCCAGGACTGGCCAAATGAGACAGGTTGAGCTCGATAAGCTGGCTGATGATCGCATACGGGAGGTGAAGGTACTTTCTGGGGTCTTCGATTCCGTTCACTTTGGTCGGCGTGTGGATTGCAGGTTTACCGTCCGCGACAAGGTGAAGTTTGAATGCTGCAAGTAAAAGGGAACAGTCTGAACCGCATTTATTCCAGGTAATTGCTCCAAGATAGGACCTACAGTCTCCAGTGGGTGATGCCCATCGGGCTGCCAACAGAATAGGGTCTACTTGGGTAGTTGTGCGATCAACATTGGAATACCAAGTGAGTAAATGACTAATTGGATGCAGGAAACGCGCGTTGGATACCACGAGTCGATTGAGGGCGGACAAATTGACCAGAGAATCACTGCTTTCACCATGTCAGCCTGAAGCGAGCTTTCTGAAAATGTGACGAATGGCGCCGGTTTAAGCCCCCATTTCCCGCTTTCTAGTCATCAGTAACTGAGAGGATGTTGCGGCTGAGTGTACAGTTGATCACTCTTTGTAGGTCATCGCAAAAATCGTCCATGACGGAGGGGTCCGATGAAGAAGTGAGAGCGCAGACGGATATGACGGTCCAACTAACTAATGAGCCCTTGAAATGAGCTGTTGCGATCCTGGATAGTGGCTTCCAAAAGTGTAGTAACGGTAATTTCCTCAGCTTCGTTCTCGGTCTGAGCCTCCCAAGCTAGCGTTCACGTCAAAACAACCACTAAAGGTGCACAAGGTCTATTAATGCCCAAAACGAGGTCAAGAACAGTTGTACAGCGCTTCGTATATATAGCGTAAACGGTTACAACTTTCTGGAATTTCTGACGCGTTCTGGATGCGCCATTGGCAACCGGCATTTCGCCAATACTGGGTCATGATTGGCTGTTGGGTCCAGATTGTTGACCAATCAGATCTCGTCTTGATGCCGGACCGGCAAGCGTCCCGAATTCTGGGCCAACCTCGAGCGGGCCAGGCTTATCGGCCGTAGCAGCGCTTAAAGACGTGCGGTATAGTGGGATCCGTGCGGATTCCTGCCTAACAAAAAGAATCAGATGTCTGGGACGCGTACGCCACTGTCAAGATCGACGTTGTCCAGACCCGATTTGTGCTGCTGCGCTGTACGCCAACTCCCGAAGCCGTGTAAAGGTCTACGGGAAGC